ATTCTATGATTCTATGATCCCACTTCTTGAGCTTAGCTTGTCGAGAAACCGTGGAGTTGGTGTATGTAGGGACATACATATCCACACCCACCCTTCTTCATTCTTTTACAACATTCCTCTGGGTCAGAATCTCTCTGGGCAGGGTGAGCATGTTGGTTGAATGGGTTCTGATCTGCCCGCTTGCGGAAGCTTATGTTTCTCTGCTGCAGCTGGGACCAGCGGAGCTACTGAGACTCTTTTTAATTACGCAGGCCGGTGACGATGCAGGTAAGCATTTGCCTGGAGAGGCCTTTGGTTATAGGAGAGAGGTGCCTACACTTGCTTCGTGATTGATGTTTGGTGTTGCTTTTGTTTTCCTTTGGGAGAGAAGGCAGAATTTAATTAGATTTTTACTCTCATTTGTCTGCTCTCTGTAATTATAGGCAGCCTTTCTGCTCTTCTACGATCAAAATGGGGACCATTAAAAAATAATGAGCAGACAATTGGCTTTTACACCAAGCAGATTCTTGAAGGATTAAAATACCTCCACGATAACCAAATAGTGCATCGAGACATAAAGGTAAGAATTTGCAGATAATTAAGCCTGATGGTGTTATGTAACTGCATAACCATTTATCTGTCCTGTAATTTAAAACTTCTTTTTCTGTAAGCTCTTCACTGTCACATGCCCTCTCTGCTATTCTGAACTGTGGATCAGGTAGGTGAGCTGTTGTCAATTTGAAATTGCACCAACAAAATATGTTTGCTTTTTTTTTAATTTTAGAAGAATTGACACACAGACGCTTAAGATGTGATGAAGTGGATATTTTTCTTTCTGTTTTCAATTATATGATCAAACTTGCATAAAAGCTTATTAGAAGTGAAGATTGTGGATGAGATATTAGCAGGTTGTTTTCCAAGTAGATTGCCAATGATAAAGTTCCCTTAAAAAAAAAAAAGGTAAAAGAAGAAAAAAGCCTTTTCTCCTCAGTATTCTTTAACTAAATTCCCGTATTACTGCTGTAGTAGGGCAAGTTCACTTTGAGATGAAGTTTCTGATAATGGGATTACATAAGGCAGGAACATTATTGATTCCTCTTTCACCTCCCCTCTTAAGAGCCTTAGGAAGTAATTGTTACTAAAGAGTACAATGTAAGAACAGCTATGCAAGAAGTCTTATATGAAGAGTCAGCAGAGAGAAATAACTGCTCTGAACATTCTGTTCCTCAGGGTGATAACGTGCTTATCAACACGTACAGTGGAGTGTTAAAGATTTCGGACTTTGGAACTTCAAAGAGACTTGCAGGAATCAACCCGTGTACTGAAACTTTCACTGGTATGTTCCCAGAGGAGACCCCTTCCTCACTTGAATAGTGCATGTAGGGTCAGAATCCACAGCTGCTGAACTTTGATTGGCTTCAAATCAATATAAAAGGTTGCTGCAAGAATAAATGTTTGTATCATTAATCTTAAGCTATACACTCTACTTGCATGCACTGTTCAAAGAGAATGCTGTTTGGGAAGTTCCACTTGAGACATGAAGGTCCTCTACAGCAGAATTGTGTCTTTCTGATGTTGTAGTTGAGTCTCTCTTCTGTGCACATGGCTTTTTCATCTTGCTGACCAAAAGCTAAATTTTGGGATTTTTTTTTTCTCATGACTGGCTTGGACATCCTGGCTTTATCTCCACATTTCCTCATCTACAGAGCCTGTCATTAACTTGATCCTCATTCTGCCTGATAATTTGAATTGGTTGTTAAATCGTGCAGTGGTACTGCATTAAATAATTATGCAACATGAGCTGTGACTGTTATTTTAATTCCATCCTCTGCTCTTCTATTTCTGCTCTAAGTGGAACAGAATGCAGAATGATGTGTCAGGATGATTCTCTTGAGAAGAAGTGTTCGTATCACCTGCTGGTTTAGGTTCAGATTTCGGGTTCCACGTCCTCCTTCTCTGGATTCAATTCAGAGTGATCTTCCTTATTTCAATCTAAATCTATAATACAGTAAATGAAAACTATGTCTGATCAAAAGCTCATTGAAACCACTTAATAATTGTCATTGACTTTGAAAAGCGCTACCATCAGATCAGTAGGTGATAGCAGTTGCTTTTAACACAAGTAATATTTTGAATGGTACTTTATGTGGAATGCTATGGAAATTTTAAAATTTTGAATAATAAGGAGTATTTCTTTAACTCTCTTGATATTGCTCCCTCTGCAGTGATTTTGTTCCTCTTGTCTATCAGCTATATGTTTTGTATCATTAATGCACCTCAGAAAAAACATGAGTGTGTTTCCAACAGGTACCCTTCAGTATATGGCACCCGAAATCATAGACAAAGGGCCACGTGGCTATGGGAAGGCTGCGGATATCTGGTCTTTGGGATGCACAATCATTGAGATGGCTACAGGGAAGCCCCCGTTTTATGAGCTGGGAGAACCACAGGCAGCTATGTTTAAGGTCAGACATCTTCCTTGTACAACTCAGACCGGTATTTGTAAACACAGGAAATCATATGACTGTTCTGGAGAAGCTAGAGTTGGAGATTGCAGGAAAACAAGGTGAAGGAAATGGTTGGTTAGTGAAGATGCTAAGAATGAGCTGATTCATCTGAGTGGGAGTGCTGTGTAGTTTTGAAGAGAGTAATGGAGCAATAGCAGCTATTCAGCAGCCTGGACAACTGGGGGGGGAAATGAGGAAAGAAGCAGCTTTCTGCTTTGTGAGAGCCTCTGCTTGCAGTTGTGGGGGTTTATTAATGTAATTGTTTATACAGTTTGTAATTTTTATTTTCTCTGAATTAGGAACTAGTTACAGAAAGAAGACTTGAGAACCATATACCACTCTTGCTATCTAAACACTTTTTTGATGGTGCTTAGTGTTTAGGAAAAGCACAGTCTAGGCCATTGTTTCTCCCTTTATTTGTCTCAGGTGGGAATGTTTAAAATACACCCAGAGATTCCTGAATCCATGTCTGCAGAAGCCAAGGCTTTCATATTGCGTTGCTTTGAACCAGATCCTGATAAACGAGCTTTTGCTCATGAGCTACTTATAGATGAATTCTTGAAGGTTTCAAGCAAAAAAAGAAAGTCCCCAGCAAAGCTCTCGGGTAAGAATTGCTGAACTCAATCTGGAACTTTTCTCTTGTTGATGATACTGTTTCTTGTCACTGCTGATTTAGTCTTTAAGATGAACACAGCAGATGTCCATCCTAGGTGAACATTCAGCTGTAACCTTCTGTTGCAGCAGCTTGCTGCAGAAACACTGTTGTAGCAGAGTTCTGTTATCGTGTTGTCACAGAGATGGTGTAGATAAGTATTTCTAATAAGGTTTCTGAAAGTCTGTGTATGGTTTTGTTCAGCTCTTGTGTGATTTTGTTGGTTTGTTTTGGGTTTTTTTCCTAATTTTTATATGTTTTCCTTCAAATGTTTGCAGAGAGTACATTTGTGTAAAGTTAGAACATGCTATTGAGCCTAAGGGGAGTTTTCTACATGAGCAAAATAATCTTTGTCCCATAACAAATGTGCATGCATGGCATTATTTTTGTTTCATATGCTAATTTCCTGGAAGTGTTCTAAATTATGGAAAGTAACAAATGAGTTTTGAGGGTATAAATGACATTTTCATGTGTACATATGCACACACATAGAATATATCTCCTGTATATTTTTAGCCGTAGACCCAAAAATAATTAAATACCAGGGGAAAGCATTGGATCATCACTTCTAACATGGTTAAATCACAATAAATGACACCGAGTTTGTAGACAGGGAAGTTCAGATAATCCATGAAAATGAGAAGAGAGTTATCCTTTAGACTATGCTTGTTTTCTGTTATTTTCAGCACATTTACTTTATTTTTCGTTTGCTTTTCTCCCACAGTTCTTTCAGCTAACACAAATGGTGAGTTCTAGCATGCTTTTCCATGAACATATAACTGTGTAGATACTGTGGTTATCATTTATTCTGGTACAATTTGTCACACTAAAATGTTGCAAAGAGAAGTGGGCACCATTATGAAAATAAGCAATCGTTCTCTGTTAGGAACCTCTAATTCGTTGTGCAAATTCAAACCACTATTTGTAATCCTGCCAGACTGTGGCTTAATTGTCTAGGCAGGTGGGTAATACAGGCTTGAAGAGCTGCTTTGTTGTTACAGGGCCGTTGAGTGGAAATCTGAACAGGAAGCCAAATGGCTGTTTCATAATAGCAACAGATCCAAGGTTTGTGGAGAAGGATAACAGATTTTTATTAGGCTGAATTCTCTGATTGAAAGAAGCAGAGTGTATTTGGGATCGCTTGACAGGCCTGGGTACAGGATACTCATCTCTTTCAGGAAATTAACTGGGGAGAGTAGGAGATGTGGGGGGAACCGAACAAACACGTAGTTACCTTCACGCTGAGTCGCTATCATCAAAGTACATTTTGAAATGTGCACATGTGAAATAGGTATGAATAGCTTCTTGCAGCAGTAATATGTGCTCTGGATTTAAAACCAAAAGTTCTGACTTAGCATGCATTTTTATTATTAATCAAAGGCTGTGAACTAATTAAACTTGTACAAAATAATCAGATAAAGAAGCGTATTTTATATTCTATAGTATATATAGAGGGCTGGAGCACCTCTCCTATGATGAAAGGCTGCGAGCATTGGGCTTGTTCAGCCTGGAGAAGAGAAGGCTCCGGGGAGACCTTATTGCAGCCTTCCGGTACCTGAAGGGGCTACAAGGAAGCTGTGAGGGAACTTTTTACAGGGGCCTGTAGTGACAGGACAAGGGGTAACGGGTTTAAATTGAAAGTGGGGAGGTTTAGATTAGATATCAGGAAGAAGTTCTTCCCGGAGAGGGTGGTGAGGCACTGGAACAGGTTGCCCAGAGAAGCTGTGGATGCCTCATCCCTGGAAGTGTTCAAGGCCAGGCTGGATGTGGCTTTGAGCAACCTGGTCTAGTGGAAGGTGTCCCTGCCCATGGCAGAGGGTTGGAACTGCATGGTCTTTAAGGTCCCTTCCAACCCAAACCATCCTGTGATTCTGTGATTCTATGATATACTTACATATTGTATATATGCGCATATATATATATTTATAAACACACGTAAAATTGAGACCTTAGGAGGTGCTTGAATAATTTACTCTGTGGAAACCTTTTGCTACTGATGTAAGTGCACACTGAGATGCAGATTCTCCCCAGTGGTGAAGTTCTGTAAGTGAACTTGCAAAGAGCCCAGCATTTCTGTATCTCGGGAAGCTTTTGAATAAAAACATAATTGAAAGATAACTGTGTTCTAGAAGAGTAACCTTCAGGAGTGGTTTGTCAATTTTGTTTCAGTATTTTGTATTGGTGTGGGGGAGACTGGAATCTTTGTTTCCTCTGAAAGTATAGCCTTTTCGCTTCAGAACTGTGATGACACTATTAAATTCTAATTTCTGAATATTCCTATATGAATAGAGTATCTTCGGAGTATATCCTTACCTGTCCCTGTTCTGGTGGAAGATACAAGTAGCAGCAGTGAATATGGTTCTGTCTCGCCTGATACAGAATTAAAAATTGATCCATTCTCTTTCAAAACAAGAGCCAAATCCTGTGGAGAAAAAGATGGGAAGGGAATACGGTCCCTTTTTCTGAGGTAAAGAGCTATCTAGCATGTTACATGGTGGATTAGGAATGTGTGGATTGGGGTGGTTTTCATAAACTTCCTTCTCACTGAGAGTCTTTCATTCAGCATCCCAGATGAAAATTTTGAGGATCACAGTGCACCTCCTTCCCCTGAAGAGAAAGATTCTGGCTTTTTCATGCTGAAGAAGGATAGTGAAAGGAGAGCCACCCTTCACAGGATATTAACTGAGGATCAAGAGAAGGTAGTGAGGAACTTGATGGAAGCTTTGGCTCAGGTAAAGTAATTTTAGAAGGCAGTAAAAATTTTATGGAATTTGAAGACTTACCTGCAGTTACCTGGAACTTTTGAAATTATACATAGTAAAGCAATTAAAAATTTTTTTAAAAAAGCAATTAAAAAGAAGTTTGTTTTAACTTGAAAGCACACACTCTATAAGCTTTCAGGGTTTATTGTTTTATTGGAGCTGTTAAAAATAGGCTTTAAAATTGTTTATGCTGCTCTACATGCACCTTTTGTGTTGGTTGCAAATACTGTATGTGTATCTGGATATTAGTGCTGGCCAGACAACAGAAACACATGATTTCATGATATTATATTTTGATAGTGATTTTACTGAGGCTGTCAGGTTAACTCACGTAAGACAGATCATCCCTGGGAGGCGATTACCTTGCCCTCTTAAAAGAGTTCTATCTTCTGGCTCACTGGTTTGATGGAGGGAGGTTTAGGTCTTCTGGCTTTATGTTAGGTTATTGCGTCTTAAAAATGGGGCTGACTGGTACACTGTTGCCTTCTAGCCAGTGCTCGTAAAAGGGGGAAGAGGAGGCTAGGGAGAAAATACATTGCAGCTATTCCTCACAGCAGTTAGGAGCACATACGGAGGGGAGGGAAGATGGAGTAACAGCAAAATAATTGCAGAATGACCTTTTGGCACTCCTTTATGGGGATGATTCATGATGATGTTTCAGGATGTTTAGGATGACACCGAATAAATTACAGGTCATGACAACACTGGTAAAAGTTGCAACACCGTAATTGGATGACATGATTTTTTGTTCTTGTTTGTAATGTGTGTGTTAGTAGTTAGTTGACTGGCTTCATTCTCAAGGCTAAGTATCGCAGGTCTAAAACGTATTCGTATAAAATGTGACAACTCATCGTCTAAAGAGAGTACTGTTTAGAAACTGATGCAAACCAATATGATTGGTATGCATGTACTACAGTTAATGTACTTGGAAATTGCTGCTGTACCAATAAAAAGAGCTTCTAACTCTTGGTTGTGGGAGGGAGGAACCCACAGTTGTCCTGGTAACTACAGAAAGTGTTAAAATAGAAGGCAGTCAGAGAGATGCCCCTGATGTGGGCTTTGCTAGTGTTGCTGTAACAGACACAGTTGTTAGCGTGTGGATGGAAGGAATAATCAGTGATTGTGGGAGACTGAAACTCAATCACAAAAGCTGTGAGAGCTTGGTGCTTCGTGCCTTCCTCAGCTGAGGCTGGAACAGCCTGAGGGAGGAGCAGAGAGACACAACGTTGTAGAGCCAGAAGGTTCAAAGCACACCTGCACAGGAATGTCGGCCTTCCAGAGAATGCAGAACTCTGACTCCCAGGCACCGTTTTCTCCCTTCAGAGAGAGACCCTGGTCAAAGAGTAGAAAACATACTCAAACCACCAGAAAGTGTCAGTAACTGTAGTCAAGGGAAAGTTGAGTTGGTTTCTTATGCCCTGCTTAAATGTGAGAAGTTACTAATAGATGGAAGCCTGACTTGCTTGTAAGGTCTCATCAGGATTTAGACTTTCATAGCGCTCTTCCCTTCACAAAAACTTTTCATAAGAACAATTTCAATGAAGTCATTGGGTGTGGGGGGCTAATGACCCTCACAAACTAGGTCACTGTTTCTTTTTAGGGAGTCATACTGGTTGCCCTGTCACCAGCATGGGGAATTTGGATTTTTCTAGTCCAGGGCTACAGTGTGTTGTGTGTCCATGTATTTTCCCAAATGGCTTTCTAGCTGTTTACATGAAAAGGAGATCAGCTATTGCAGGACAGAGTGAGGGATCCACTTCAGTATAGCAAATCATCAGGTGCATTCTCCAAATATAAGAAGATCAAGATCGTAGGTTAGGATTTTTTATCTCGGAGATGAGTGCTTTATAGTCAGTGAAATAGACTGTCTAGAGCTGCTTTGTTTATCTTTTTAAAATTTATTTCTCTCTTAATTGAATTATCTTTGGTTTATCCTGACCAGAATTAAGTAACTACAGTTAAAACCTCAGTGTTATTGGCAGACTTCTTGATGCCTGGCCAGCTGTAACATTCATGGCATAAAACTGGCAAATGTACCATATCCATATACCATGTGCCCTTCTGTTAGGGAAATCAATGTTAGATATCTTTAGTCTATATAAATACTTATTTAACTTTCTTCAGAATAAGCATCTAATGCTACATGTTGGACAAGTAGTTTGGTCTTCTGTCCCTGGCTAAATTTAAAGATATGGAATTGTTCATTTCCATGTTCAGTTGGCATAACGTTGAGTAAATACAATCCTCTGCTTCCTAGATGCTTACGCTGATTATTCTGATAGATGCTTTTGAGATTTTTCCTGCTTTGGTAGCTCATGCAAAAACAAAAAAGCTTTTAAAAACAGGCATATAAATATTTATAATAGAAAGGTGAGAGACTTGTAGACCTGCTCTAAGAATAGGTAAGTGTAGAAGTTCCGTCTCAAGGGAAATTATGTAGGAGGGAACTAGTCTCTTTCTGAGCCTTCTGTGTAACTGACTAATCCCTTCTTTTAAATGCTACTGTGGGACTTTGCATGTTGACTCTCAGAGGCACTCTGAAATCAGAGGCACTGCCAAGTACGTGTTTGTTTGCAATCAAGAGTAATTTGTAATAATAGGTGAACAGTATATTTATTCATATCTTTTTGCTCCTGTACAATGAGACATACAGACTACAGCGTGCACATACACTTCAGCAACTGATAAAAAAAGAAGTCAGCTACTTGCTTGTCAGGTAGCCTGCATTACCAGGGAGCTCAGCTCTGTGCTGCTGTAGTTCGCTGCTACCATTATCTGACCTGCAGCTGCATCGTTCCCTTAACCAGAGCAGTGGAGTTTCTGAAAATCTGTATTGCCAACTGACATTATTGGCTGAAGTCCCTCTGGGCTCACATTTCAAAAGATGGCTATCAAAACTTTGTCTTTTCCTCTCTCTTCTACCAGGGAGCCGAAGAACCCAAGCTAAAATGGGAACATATCACAACGCTGGTTTCCAGCCTCCGAGAGTTTGTACGGTCCACCGACCGTAAAATCATCGCAAACACTACTGAAACTGGAACTAGACTTTGACAGCCATGGTATCAGTCAAGTGCAGCTTGTGCTGTTTGGTTTTCAAGATGCTGTAAGTTGTCATTTTTACTAAGAACTTTGTGTGCCAAAATTGCCAAAGAGACAAAAAAAAAAAAAAGCTAGAAGCAAAGAGACCTTCATAAATTTCCACCCAAAGTTACTGAAACAATATTGGAGGACTTTGAACTTGTAATAACAAAAACCCAGCCCACAGCCATGACTTGGTTTGGTTGCCATGTGATCCTTTGGCAGGACACAGCTCCTGAATACAACCGTTGAGATTTTGCCGATTAAAGATCTACAAGGTTCAGCATAGTTGTGTAAACACTATGTCACAATACTAAAGCAGGAAAAACTTTTTTTTTTTTTTTTAAATTTCATTTGGAGGGTTTTCTGGTAAGTTAGACCAACACTGAATGTCAGGCTTATCCTACATAAACACAAATCTCCTGAACTTGATTTCTCTTATAAACTAATACATTAAACCACCCTAAGCGCCCAGTAGTAGTCCGTCTACATTGAGTTCTTATTGTAGTATTTCTGGTTAGCAGCAGATTTCTGCCAAACCAGACATTTTCATTCCAATTTATAGTAAGCAGGATAAGAAGGAAGAAAATAAGGTTACATTTCTGTCAATTAAGGCAAAGTTTATGATTTTCTACAGTGAGCAACCAAATGCACACATGGATACCCTTTAAGTAGCTTGTTGACCAAAAGCAATTTTTTTTTTTTTTTACCAAAGCTATGCATTTAAATGTTAGTTCACAAGTAATTAGGCTTAATGATTAAGATGAAAAACCAACATGGGAGGGTGCAGCTGTGCTGGGCATCACTTGTCCAGGCTGAAGTCATGGAGTAAAAATGAAATGACTATCCAAATGACTATTTGAGGTGGATGATTCTGTTAGCATTTAAAGCCGGGGCACTATGACAAGTAAAAGAGCTGTCAGGAAGGATTGCATAGCACGAAAACTGTTTGTTGCATAGATTACACCGACAGGAATTAGATGCTGCTTACGTAAAAAAACTAATGTGTAAAATGAATCTGTAAAAGAGGGGCTTCCACAAATCAAAGTTTTTCTCTTTGAGTCTTCACTTCTAAATACACTTCAGCTCTCCATTCTACTTAGCCTCATATTAATACTGTTTTGACACATGGGAGAAAAGAAATCAAACATATAAGGTCAAGAAAGTAGTTGAGGGGAGAGGAAGTACAGATATCTGGGTTGGGTTTCTGCTAGAGGTGTTGCTGGGCACCAGTTGTTCAGTAGGAATTGCCTGAATCATGTTCTTTTCAGTAAAAATATTACCCTCTTCTCTTAATTCCATCATTACCAGTTGCTGGTTTTTAACAGTGTAAAGGCTTTCGGAGCCCTTGGGCAGCTGTGCCCCGGTGTCAGCCCAGGGCAGGCTCCTCTGGGGCTGCTGACAGCTCTGCAAGTCCCAGCGCGGTGCCCAAGTGCCACCTCGTGGCCATTGGCAGTAGAGCTGAGGAGACATAGGTCCTGGTTGGCAAGTACAACCAAGTAGGTGGCAGCCCCTATCCAGTCGCTCTGTCACTCCATCCCAGCGGGGTGAGGGAGAGAATTGGAAGGGCAAAAGGTGAGAAAACTTGTGGGTCAGGATAAAGACTGTTTAATGAGTGAAGGGGAGGGGAACTCCAAAACTCAGAAGTGGTGCAAAAGCAAACACTCACCTCTAACAGACTAATGCCCAGGCAGTCCCTGAGCAACAGCTTCTTTGGAAAAACTACTCCCCTGGTTTTATTGCTGAGCATGATATTGTATGGAAGGGAGTATCTTTTAGGTCAAATCGAGGTCAGCTGTGCTGGCTGTGTCCCCTTCCATCCTTTAGTCCAGGCTCAGCGTACTCACTGGTGGAGTAGCACAAGACATGGAGAAGGCCTTGACGCTCTGTAAGCGCTGCCCAGCAATAGCTAAAACATGGCTGTGTTAGCAAAGCTGTTTTAGTCACCGGTTTAAGACATAGCACCATGTGGGCTCTGTGAAGAAAAGTAACCCCATCCCAGCCAAACCCAGTATAGGTATCTAATGAATACTGTTGCTTTGGGACAGTGAAAATAATATGATTAATAACATTTATGGACTTTGATATGTCATCTGAAGGCATCATTTGTGTAACTTCAGTTAAATTTTACAGAGAGGTTATCAGAGTGTGAGAGATTTAAATCCTTCCTTTTTTTAGGAAGCCTGAAGAGTGAAGTACCTTCTTGCATGTTTTTTTAGTATGCAGTAGTTGCTAAAAGCTTTGAGTAAAGCTTTTACTTTACTCAAGCCCTCGACCTGCTGGCCACACTTCTCTGGATACAGCCCAGGATACGGTTGGCTTTCTGGGCTGCCAGCGCACACTGCCGGCTCATGTCCAGATTTTCATCTACCAGTACCCCCAAGTCCCCTGTTAGCCCCCTCATGGCTAAAAGTCATTTGAAAGCAGACATGTAGACAATTAGGAGCAACCCTGTGTAGAAAACTCTCTAGTTCTATAAAGTAAAAAGTAGAAGGAAAGCAGAAAATGGCACAGCATACAAATGAAGTCCCCTGACTATTTAATGTTAATTAACTATTTTCTGAATTAAGAAGGAGCAGCATTACAATAGTTCTCTGATATTTCCTACAATTGTACTTTAAAACAGATAAGTATTGCTCAGAGTGAGCAGTGAAAACAATGCAAAACCAAACAAACTTAAGCTAAGATTAATTAGCTTAAGTTACAAACCCTTCACGGTATGGTCCTTGGTATTTGTCTTGCTTGCATTCTTTTTAAGTTTCACTCCCTACCCATGAAGGTTAAGTAAACTTCAGTGTCAAAGTATCAAAAATCACCTAACACAGTACCTCATAAAAAATACGAAATATTGCATGACTTGTAACAAAATGGTGGAAGTTGGCTATGTTGCTTGTTTATTTGTTTAATGACAACATGTAATAGTGTTAATCACCTGCTTTCATACAGTTCAAACGCTTTATATAATGCTGACAAATACTGTTTGAAGTGAGGTGGGGGTGGGATATAATATCTAAACCGAATGCTCTGTTGCTATTTATTTAGGTCAATAAAGTTCTCCGAAATCATAACATCAAGCCACATTGGATGTTTGCATTGGACAGCATAATCAGAAAAGCTGTGCAGACTGCTATTACTATTCTGGTCCCAGGTGAGTAATTTCTTAATGCTCAGCAAACATTTATTAGCTGATCTCTTTAAACATGCTCTGGAGCTGTGATTAGGATGCTTCGCTTAAGACTTTGAAACCAGCAGCCGCCTTTTTCCTGTTCACTGTCTGTTTTTCATCTCCAAAACTAATATGTTGGAAAGCACCTTTCCACGATGCAGAATCTAACCAGTTCTGCAACACAGTGAGCAGTAGTAGGCTTAAGTGCTCCGGGGCCTCATTTTTTGAGGTACACAATGCTGTTTCTTGAAATCCAGAGGACAGACCACTTGCCAGTGCATGCCGGTTTTGGAAGGTGTTCTACAAAGTGTAGATTAATTATGTGCTTTTTGGAGCATTCAGAATTCTCTCTGGCTCCTGGTCAGAAGCTGCCTGAGGAAGAAAAAAAATAAAATCTGCAGTGCCTGCAATTTGAATAATACGTTTTGAATGCTGGATGCCTGGCTTAGCTGAGGGAAGGAGGCTGTGTAGAAAAAACTGTAGCCCATTCTGTTACTGCTCTACCTATCTCCAGAGTTAGTTTCCCTGCTGTTTCTTAACTTCTAAGCTTGTGATTCCCTGTTTCCTACACTGGAAATAATGATGAAATTTTCAAATATATGATTTAATACTTGAACTCTGAAGTCAGAATGCATTTGTTCCTGTTTTTTGCAGTGGGTTAAGTCTTAAATTACCAACAAGGGGATCTGAAAATTTCAACAGAAGTTACAGTTCTTACCGTTCTAGTTAGTATTTTCCGTATCCCCAGCACAATCAAGACATAAATAGAGATTCTGTGTTACTTTCAAGTCAGTGGAAATCTGTCTTGTGATTAGAATGCTGGACACCTTTTAACAGGCATGTACTTCACTGCTCTATAACAGTATAATTATAACACTATAACTGTACAATTCCTCCTTAATAGACTACAGTTCTTACCGTTCTAGTTAGTATTTTCCGTATCCCCAGCACAATCAAGACATAAATAGAGATTCTGTGTTACTTTCAAGTCAGTGGAAATCTGTCTTGTGATTAGAATGCTGGACACCTTTTAACAGGCATGTACTTCACTGCTCTATAACAGTATAATTATAACACTATAACTGTACAATTCCTCCTTAATAGACTTCCCTGTATGTAACAGGAATACTGTACAATTCCTCCTTAATAGACTCATCTTCCCTGTACAGCTCAGTATTAGCATTCATTGTAGATGATCAAGCTTAAACAAAAGCCTCTGTGCCCCAGTAGCTTCTGGGTACTGATCATCTGCCTCTTCCTTAATTGTGTTACCCCACTGCTGATTGTTTTCCCTTGCCTTTGTCTGACTGTTTTCTGGTTTGTTTCACCTTTTTCTCCCCTCCCCCATGAATGCTGTAAAGACTTACCTCTGGCCTTCACATTTCTAAAAGTTATGGGCTGTTTTTGGAGTGGTGGGAAGCAGATGATATATAGTTACACTGCCTGGGGGTGAACAATGGCAAAATGAACTTCTGTTCCTATTAACGTGATGCAGAAGTTCCAAGCAAATTCAGATGTATTTGCCTAGCAATATTTGGGTAACTGCTATGCAATAAATCTGCTTTATTTAGTTTAGAGGAAGCACAGATCTGTTGATCTTATTGTGTTCACCCTTGTAAAAGGTATGTAATGTTGAAATGAAGAGATAAAATGGATCAAGGAACAAATGTCCCTTTTGTAAAGGAGAGAAATGTATTTGTTAGCTCTTCAGCAGG